CAATCGGTTTGCCAGGCGTCTGCCGGTTGCTTTCTTCCTTCTTTGCAAGAAGTCTAGCTTGGGTGATACTATCTTCGTGCGTATCGGTCCTAAAGGGTGTTGACCCAAAAAATCGAAATTTTTTGCATAAATCGCTTTTTTAACTTATGTGAAATAAGTGTTTAATTAGATTTTTCGGTATTCACTGTAGTTACAAAGTAACAACTGAGAAGACATGCTCCTCAGAACAGCTTACTCCTGCAATGATTATTTCTTTTGTGTTTTTCTCGAAACCACGTTTTTCCAACTGGTCAACACGATTTATAACAAGAAAGGAAGCTAACTTCGGCACGCCGAAGTTTGTATACCCTTGCAGATTGGTTTTGATGTTTATATTATAGATTTAAATGCTGAAAACACACACAAAACAGAGTTTCATTACATTTTACCTATACTTATTATGTTTACATTTTGACAGTTACAGTTTTACATTCCCAGCTTTACATTTTCTCTACATTTACCGATCGTTTATATGGCAGCTATATGATATAGTTGTCCGATTTTCATAAAATTTATACCAAAATTCTAGAATAATAAAATAAGCTTATATCTAAAAGTAGATAAGAATATGTTGAAAAACAACGAAGTTATAATTTTTTTCCTATTCATTTGCCGATCGTTCCTATGGCAGCTATAAGATATAGTCGTCCGATTTTCATAAAATTTTTACCAAAATTCTGAAATAATATAAAATGGCTATGTCTCAAAAATGATTCATTGAAAAACAGCCAAGTTATAATTTTTTTTTCTAAAAATTTATCGAACATTTGTATGGGAGCTATATGATATAGTCGTCCGATCCGGCCCGTTCCGACATATATAGCAGTGAGAGTATATAGAAGACTATATGCAAAGTTTCATTCAGATAGCTTTAAAACTGAGGGACTAGTTTGCGTAGAAACGGACAGACGGACGGACGGACAGACGGACAGACGGACATGGCTAGATCGACTCGGCTGTTGATGCTGATCAAGAATATATATACTTTATAGGGTCGGAAACATCTCATTCACTGCGTTGCAAACTTCTGACTGAAATTATAATACCCTGCAAGGGTATAAAAAAATCAAAACGCAAAGCGTAAATAAGTATAATATAATTTAAATTCCCAATTTCCTTTGAAAGTTATAAAATATAGTTGTGGAATTTTCATAATATCAATATTAAAATTTTAGAATCGTAAAAATGCCATACTCGAAGAATGTGAAAATATGTTGATAATTGTCGAAGTTAGACTTTTTTCTTGTAATTCTTCGATCGTTCCTATGGCAGCTATAATATATAGTCATCCGATTTTCATAAAACTAAATATTACATTTTGAAATAATACAAAATGGCTACAAAAGAAAATAAATATTCGTTGAAAAAAAAAAGTTATAATTTTTTTTCTAAAATTTTTCAGATAGTTCCTATGGCAGCTATAGGATATAGTCATTTGATTTTCATTAAATTAAATACGAAATTAGAAATTAATACAAGATGACCATATCTCAAAAAAGATAAAAATTCGTTATAAAACAAAGAAGTTGTAATTTTTTTCTATTAATTTCCGGATCGTTCCTATGGCAGCTATATGATATAGTCGTCCGATTTTCATAAAATTTTTACCAAAATTCAAAAATAATATAAAATGGTCATATCTAAAAAATGGTGCAAAACTATTGAAAAACAAAAGTTATAATTTTTTTTCTAAAAATTTATTGAACATTTGTATGGCAGCTATATGATATAGTCGTCCGATCCGGCCCGTTCCGACATATATAGCAGTGAGAGTATATAGAAGACTATATGCAAAGTTTTAACCAGATAGCTTTAAAACTGAGGGACTAGTTTGCGTAGAAACGGACAGACGGACGGACGGACGGATAGACGGACGGACAGACGGACAGACGGACATGGCTAGATCGACTCGGCTGTTGATACTGATCAAGAATATATATACTTTATAGGGTCGGAAAGGTCTCCTTCACTGCGTTGTAAACTTCTGACTGAAATTATAATACCCTGCAAGGGTATAAAAAGCAACTTAACCGATTTTCCTGAAATTTTCAGAATATGTTCAGCATACATGCGGACATCGCCTAGACTAGAATCTTTTGGAAAGCACTTCGGCACCCTGTACTTCGAAAATTGTACAATTTAAAAATAAAAAAAAAAAATAACAAAACTCTACTTAATAACACATGGGCTGGAAAGTCCCGGGTCTAAAAAAGAAAAAAATTTAAATTTAATATGGTATTTGCTTTATATATCAGCTTAATCTTTATCAAGAGCAACGCAATCATTCCAGCGCTGGTCTAACATTTCTATACCACTTTAGTAGAACGATTTATCTTTTGTTTCAAAATGGGCCTCAGTTTCAGCGATACCTTCTTCATTCGTTAACATTTTTTACCGGCGAGCATTTTTCCAGGTCTGCGAACAGCCAGTACACAGTGGTTGCGCCCATAGGCCATAAATCGAAAAATCGACTTGAAAATAATTACTCAAAATGTTAAGAATTTGTCTCTAAATTGTCTATATTTTGTCATTGCAAACTAGTTTTCCCGGAATTCTAACGGGACATTCTAAAAAAAGAATGCAAAGTGTGAACACGTGTTCAAGTTTGCTGCTGCAGCTGCGTTTAGTGAGCTTTTCGTCAAAACAAAAGTGAAGTTCAAAGTGGTCGGACGTTCGCAAAAATGCTCCAAATTGAATTATTTAAAATGCATTTTAAAGTTTAAGGTATTAACTTTAATAAATTGGTTTTATGAAAATTATCTGACTAATTAAATATTATTTGTGTATTCTATAGCGATTAACCCTTTTTTGTCTATTTTGTTAACGTCTTTTTCATGTTTAGTTAAAGTTTTAGTTGTGATGCCGCAAAATGCCACATATAATATGTATGTTAATGTGTTCGTCTGACTTTTAGGGTACTGTGTGCCAAAAATCAGCTGCAGAAATTTGCAGATGTTAATATAATCTTAAAAATACTAACACAGGTGAGGGTAAGATTTTAAATTTTTTTTTCGTAATTTTTTTTTTTTTTTTTAAATAAAGGTTTAAAATATTAAAAATATTGTATCAAAGTTTTACATCGATTATTACAAAACTGACGAAGTTATGGGTAGTTGAACGGAGGTCGTTTGGTGTTCGATGTATGAGTATCATAAAGTTTAAAGCGTTCTCCTGAAAAATGCCATTTTGAAAATCGGTGTACTCTATAACTCAAAAACTACTTAACCAATCGGTTTGAAATTTTGAACATAACTTTGAAATTTAATTGTACAGGTACTCACGTAAAGCTTTTTTAAATTGTTAATGTTAATATATATATTTTTTTTAAATTAACTTAATTTTTGAGTCGAAAATAGGGGTTTTGACTTCCAATTTTGATAAAAAATCGGGAAAAATTTTTTAAAATAAAAACGTCTCTTAAGTACCTTGGGGCACTAATTCTTTAAGGAATGCAATACATTTTTTTGATATCGGACCTTTTTGTGGACAGTTAGGATGTACACCGAAAACCAACTTTTATTTGTGGGGACTTAGGAGATTAGCAATATAGCGTAGGCCTGTAAATATTTTTTAATACAAAAATTAAAAAAAAAAAAATGGTTCAAATGTTTTATTAATTTATGGTATTTAAATCATTAAGCTAACTTTAGCCGTTTCGCCAAAACATTTTTTTGAACAGTGGGCAGTTTTGCACCGAATTAGCCTTACCCCCCTTAAGCTGTGTGCATTTGTTGCTAAACAAATAAAATACACAATATATAAGTTAATAATTTTTTTTTACTTTTGGACACTTATATTTCACCAACATTCTCATTAAGAGATAAAAAATTAATTTTAGCTCTTGGAAAAAAATAATTTTATAAAAATTTTGAATGGGAGCTATAAGATATAGACATCCGATTTTAACCAAATTTGGTAAGAATGCATAAACCTGTTCCAAACATATTATCTGTGAAATTGGTTAAGATATTTTGAAAAACAAAAAAGTTTTTCATACTAAATGTTGATTTTTAACAGATTGTTCCTATGGCAGCTATATGATATAGACGTGGTATAGGGCCAATTTTTTGTGCATATACTTAGAACATTTTTCTTGATTTTTGGTATTAATTTCGTAACGATACATCAACTATAAGTATTTTTGGCCGCGTCTCCATACAAGCCCAACCACTGTGCAGTAGTCACTGGGAGCCAAATCTGGCAAATTCGGTGACTTGGGAGCAATTCAAAGTTCAATTCATTTAGCTTTGACATTATTTTGATTGACTCAACATGTTCTTGTTTTTGGTCAACTATGAGCCAACGCGGCAGCTTTCTCATAGTCAAATGCTCATGCAATATAAAGCCAACACATTCTTTTGATATATTTACGATGTCAGCTAACTCACAAAAGTTCACTTTTTGATCATTCAAAACGATTTTGTGGATTTTTTTTTATTTTTTCTTGTGTTACCGCCTAATTTGGACGTCCACTTTAACTGAAAAAAAAAAAGATGGCTCCTATAAAACTAGCGCCATTAATGTGTTAGGCCCGGGACTTTTCAGCCCATGTGTTAACTGGTAAAAGCCGGGGTTTTGTATTCAAACTATGCGTTCTTTTGTTGAATATCAACACTTAAATATCACTTGAATATCACTTGAATATCACTTAAAAGCTAACAGTAAGAAAAACGCATCACTCAATGCCCTTGGCAGACCGCTGATGAAGCACAAGTTGCAAAAGTCGTACGATCCCTGACCACCATCAGGACAAAGGCAGGGCCCATAGCGGTGCACTTTTCTGGCTCAGCTCTCAGAAACTGCGCTGTTAAACAACAAAGTTTATTAGGTGATACCTTGGCTTAAAATAATTTATTTACATTAAAGAACCCATTTTTATTTTAATTGCTTTAAAATATTTTACTTTTCAAGAAAACCTATGAAAGATATTAATAAAATATATCATTACTTTTTCATTGCAGAAGACGTCGACGAGAATATTGAGTGTATATCTCCAAAACTTCTAAATATAATGAGCACTGATGTTGCCAAACTAAAAGCTAAACAGGCACTGGATACGATACCGAAAAATAAACTAACCCTTCTCATTAATTATGCAATGCGCAACATTTATTTAGCCAGAAACTATTTTGCTGGGCCGGTAAATATTGTGTTTATTTACATATTTGACTAAAGATAATATTATTATTCCTTGTATTATCATATTGAAAAATCTAACTAGCTTGTTGTTGGGGAACCTCTTATTCATATCCATCGGTCTGTCTGCGTAAAAAAGAGGCTAAGAGCAGTACTACCAAATATGGTAATATCATTCTTCCTTACCCATGCCCATTACTGCCTTGTTATTTATAATAAACGTATACGTGAGCTATTCTCTTGCATTATGGATTAGGTAAATTGAGCTCGAATAAATAGGAGAAATCACTAAATTCACTCTATATAAGAGCCATTAAAAAATCATAATAATTTCTGTGTTTTTACTAAGCTTTTTAATAATTTTATTCAAAAAATTGCAACGCAGTGAAGGATTATTTCCGACCGCAGACCAGTCTTTCCGCTTAGACGCCAAGAAGGCTTTTTCCTATTTACATTAGAATATCAGTCGAAACGGAAGAGTTCGGACCAATATAATAGTTGAGATAGTTTTTCAATTTACCTTTTATTATACCCTTGCAGGGTATTATAATTTCAGTCAGAAGTTTGCAACGCAGTGAAGGAGACGTTTCCGACCCTATAAAGTATATATATTCTTGATCAGCGTCAACAGCCGAGTCGATCTAGCCATGTCCGTCTGTCCGTCTGTCTGTCCGTCTGTCTGTCTGTCCGTCTGTCTGTCTGTCTGTTTCTACGCAAACTAGTCCCTCAGTTTTAAAGCTATATGAATGAAACTTTGCATATAGTCTTCTATGCTCTCACTGCTATATATGTCGGAACGGGCCGGATCGGACGAATATATCATATAGCTGCCATACAAATGTTCGATAAATTTTAAAAAAAATAATTATAACTTTGCTGTTTTTTAACATTTTTGCATAATTTTTTAGATATGGCCATTTTATATTATTTTAGAATTTTGGTAAAAATTTTATGAAAATCGGACGACTATATGATATAGCTGCCATAGGAACTTTCGGAAAATTAATATTAATAACATTATAGCTTCGTTGTTTTTCAACGCATTTTTATTTACTCTGAGATATAAGCTTATTTTATTATTCTAGAATTTTGGTATAAATTTTATGAAAATCGGACAACTATATCATATAGCTGCCATATAAACGATCGGTAAATGTAGAGAAAATGTAAAGCTGGGAATGTAAAACAGTAACTGTCAAACTGTAAACATAATAAGTATAGGCAAAATGTAATGAAACTCTGTTTTGTGAGTGTTTTCAGCATTTAAATCTATAATATAAACATCAAAACCAATCTGCAAGGGTATACAAACATCGGCGTGCCGAAGTTAGCTTCCTTTCTTGTTTTTAAATCCTTATTAATCTTAAGTGGGGAGTAAGGATAATTCGCTGCAAAACGGGCCACTTTTCTAACAAATCATTTTGGCGAAACAGTGAAACTTAGCTTAAGGGGGGACATCTGAGTAACTGGCAAAAAAAAAGCCCATTTTCTAGAATTTTTTTTGGCCAAATGAAAAAGCCAATCGAAAAATTTTAAAGTAGGTTTGATAATGTTAGATGTGAACTACGAAATAATTTTTTTTTTATAAATCGAAAACAAAATGGCAGCTGTGCAGCATGTCTCCGTAGGCCCTATTTTTTTGAAAGGGGTCCATGGCCGAAAACCTAACGTCCTTAATATTTGATCTAGAACAAAAAATCAAATTTTGTTAGTTTTTGTATCTCAACCGCTATCGACACCACACGTAGGATTTTTTCGATATTTTGATTTTTAGCAAAATGGTGAGTGATTAAATAAAATGTTCAATTTTCATGAAAAAAAAACGTCACAAAATTGTTGAAAAAAAAGTAAGCAAAAAAAAAAAATCCTACGTGTGTCGATAGCCATAGGTATTTTGGATATACTGTCAAAATTTCAGATCGATCGGTTAAGATTTGTTCGAGTTATGTTTTCGGCCAACTCAAAAAAAGTGGTTTTGAGAAAAACGAGTTTAAAGTTTTAAAATCGTATATGATTACATGGGAGGCATCGCCGCAGAATGGAGAATTTCGACACTTATACACATTTGCCGGACTCTATCTTTTGGTATGTTATTTTTAAGACCCTAAAGAATTTTTTAAGCAAAAAAAAATTTTTTCGATTTTTAAAAAAAGTTACTCAGATGTCCCCCCTTAATAAATTAAATACCATATACTAGTACAACATTTGAATAATTTTTGATAAATTTTGTATTGAAAAATATTTAGAGATAGAGGAGTTCTAGGGAATCTCCCGAGTCGCCTCAAAAAAGTTTGTTTGCGGTGTACATCCTAACGGTCCACAGAATCATCCGATCTAAAAAAATTATACCTCATTCGTTAAAAGATAAAAAATTTTCCCGATTTTTTATAAAAAATTGAAATCAAAACACCGATTTTTGACTAAAAAATTAAGTTAATTTGTTAAATAAAAAATATAATAAAATTAAAAATTTAAACAAGCTCGACGTGAGTACCTGTAGAATTACCTAAACTAGTAGATTTTGAGTTATCGTATGCACCGATATTCGAAATGGCATTTTCAGAAGATTACTTTAAGGGTCCATTCTGGTTAGTTAAAAAAAAAATCGATTTTTTGTAGTTTTCATTTTTTGATAGTTATAAAAAAACATAATACTTTAAACGCGTTTTCTGGAAAACTACATTTTTCGAGCTGGCGACCGTCCTATCTCAGCCAATTTTTAACGAATAGACTAGAATTATATTAATAGCTTATACATTGGACTTTTAATCAACAAAAAAGTGAAGAAAATTTTAACGAAAACGGAATAAAAAATTTTGAATCGCCGCAATTTTTTTAAATTTTTTATTAAATTTTGATAATTCTAGTCTATTCCATAACCACATTCATACTAAACAAGAACATCTTTGAATTTTTTGTTTCAGTCGATTTGTACGTCCTGCAGGACGGTCGCCAGAGGGGTTCCTTTTTTGGGCAAGGGCTTACGTCGCCCTGTGTCCTGAAATTTTTGCTTAATCATCTTTAAACTATGATAAATATATGTGACAAGTTTTAACTTTCTATGTCTTTTCTTTTGTCCACAAAAAATTCTTGAAAATTTCCTATTTTTTGGCCCAATTAACCAGAATGGACCCTTAAACTTTGTGATGCTCATGCATTGAACACCAACAAATTTTCCTATAATCGATGTAAAACTTGGATACAATATTCTTAAGATATTGAGCCTTTAAGAAAATAAATAAAAACAAGAAAGGAAGCTTACTTCGACACGCCAAAGTTTGTATACCCTTGCAGATTGCAATCGTATCATTAAGAATCGAGCCATTCTGGTTAAATAATTAGAAAAAAAATTAAAGGAAAAATTTAAAAGTTGTATATTAATTCATTATACATAGTTTCATAACATTTTACCTATACATATTATGTTTACAGTTTAACAGTTACAGTTTTACATTCCACAGTGGTCGATGCCATAGGCCAAAAATAAGAAAATTGATTTTGAGCTATTCAAGCGAAACCTGGTTTTTCTATCAGCTGATTGTCCAAAGTTTACCATGCAATACGGTCTGCTTGGAATTTCTAACGGGACTTTCTGAAAATAGATTGACAAAAGCGTACTTTATTTTGTTTCATTCGATATAATTAATTTTGCAACTAACATTTTGCAACGGCCTCTGTTTACAATTTTATTTCTTTTAATTTTTAATTTGTTTATAAATGAATCCGCCCTAGTGTATACTGTTTAATATAATTTTATTTATTTCCGAACAATTACATTTAATATTGTCGACCGCGCTGCGTTTGATTGCATTGAAAGCAAAAATGTGACTGATTAAGCTTTGGCTATGCACGTCATTCGATTATGCTAGTCGAAGACGTAAACAAGTTACAGTTAGGAGTTAGAAATGAATGGAAAATTACAGGGCAGAAGCTCGCGCGCATTTGCATCGATGCGCTGCTCGCTTAGCGACCGCTGATAAGGCCGCCGGCAGCGGCGATCAAAAACAAAGAGAGCGAAACCCAATACAGGGTGTCTCGTTCCCAAACATAATTCATTTTACTTATCAAAATTTGTTTATCCGCTTGTATTTCTTTTTAACTTTTTGTTTTGTATTATTTTTCTTAATTTTTGAACAATTTTCTTTAAATTAAACAATCGGTATTGAAACTATTTGTTTTACATGAATTTAACTCCAGCTTTCCAAATACCTCCGAAGTGAGGTCCTGCCGGGGGAATATTGCGTTAAATAACTCCTGATCTAACTTTGTTCCTGCCTCTTATGAGTGCAATATTTATAAATTCTTTTTTTTTTTTTTCAAAAACAAAATTATTATATTTCTAATAAAAAAAGAATTTTAATTAAGTCGACTTAGCTGCTGCTTCTTCCGCTTCTGCTGCGCCGCAGTCGTCTTTAGTGTTGATGTTTTTGTTTCTGCTGCTGCTGTCGTCGCTGCCGCCGTTGTTGGTTGTAGGATGATTTCCTGATGCCGCCTGTATCGTCGCTGCGGCTGTAGTTGTTGTTGCAGACTTATTTGTATTTGCTGCCGTGCGGTCGTCCATCCTTCTCCCTCTCTCCGTCACAACTTCCACACAATATTTTTAGTCGTTTTCTCGACTACAGAAAATTTGTATTTCTTATTTCCTGGTTGCCATTTCTGGCACCTATATAAAAAACCAACCAATAAAGTTGGAAAAAATTTTGTTTGTTTAAAAACAATAAGACTCTTTTTTGTCTATTTGAATTGACGTTTTCACGACCACCAAAAAAAATTTGTATTGTGCTTTTTTTAATATTTGTCACTACCGCCACTTTTCGATGTTTCGGTCCTCGAAAAAACGCCCACAATAAATATTTTAGATATTTATTTTTATTTTGCCGATTTCTCGACCACCATTTGTTTTTCTTTTCTTTAAGCACATTTACTGATATTAATGGCTTCATCACGCCTTACCATATCTTCCATGGTATTGCAGCAACCTAAATGGTGCTTGTATTTAAAAAA